GACCTTGCACTTGGCCTTAACTGAACTTCATGAGGTTTGCATAAGCTCACCTCTCAAGCCTGTCCTGGTCCCTGTGGATGGCATCCCTTCCTTCCAGCACATCAACCAAACCACACAGCTTGGTGTTGTCAGCAAACTTGCTGAGGGTGTACTGAATCCCACCGTCCATGTTGCTGACAAAGATGTTGAATACCACCGGTCCCAATACTGATCCCCAAGGAATGCCACTCATTACAATTCCTGGCTCTCATTTGAAGTCCACCCCAAAAAGACTTTACAGTCTTTATGCAAGCCTACAAAACAAGAGGACCCAAGCAAGCATTCCAGGATAAGTATTGATGGACAATTACAATATTGTTTACTGCCAGCTAAGAATGTAAACTTAGCACAATGAATGTTAAAGGAAAACTTCTGTGGGCCATGTGTTCCTGCAGTCCTTTATCATTCCTCTTTCACGCTAGTTCCAGGGACACAGCCTGCTGGGTCCAGATGGTCTGCTGAGCCACTCACATCTGGCTCTTCTTAAGGGGGTTATTCTTAATGAGTCAAGCACCTGGGAAATCAGAAGTGAATACCCATCTATTGATATGGGAAATATGAGAGCGTGAAAGTGTGGGACACCGAAGGAGCTAACAAACATTTGTGTTCTTCAGTGCCATGGCATGAATGGCCAGATCACTTTGATCACATCAGGACTCTGCTCCTGTAGATTCAGCAGCAGTGAGACCATGCTAGTGAGGGCTTCCTCCTCTATTAGGAATTTATCTTTCACATTCACTACTCTGAGTAAATCTCTAAATATTTTAAATGTGATGCAGCATTTTTGTGCCACTCCTGTGAAATACACCATAGGGAAGGGCTTCATCAATTTTACAGAGTGGTCACAGCACAGGCAAATCACTGACAGAAGGAGAATGGTTTTCAATTTGCCAGAATGTAGACTTTAATAAGTATTTCCACTGATGAAGAGGCTTTGAAAAGGCATGGTCTTGTGAGCACTGCAGCCAGAGTGAGGAACTAGAGTCTATTTCTCTCATATGTAGAATGCAAACGACAACTTCAAATCCAAATACTGTTGAATAAAAGTGCTAATAACCTCTTATCTAAAGGGTTCTTCACTTTCATTCTCCTGAGGTTTGGCTGCTTATACTATGGGGTATTTGCACCTCCCAGGGTGACCTTGGTTGGGCAAATCATTAAACATCTGTGTCCCAGTATTCCCATCACTACAAATAGTGATGGTAACATTTACTTACTGCACTGGGGCCCTGTAAGGCTTAATTAAATAGCATTTCCAAAACATTTTGAAAAGGCTGTAAGATCTCCAGTTTCTGAATGTTACCAAATTAAGTCATGGGTGATATCTCTGGCATGAGCAGTATGATGAAAGAAGATGTTCTACTTCTGACTTCAATATCATGTCATGTTGCACCAAGCACATCTGTGAATGGTTTGCACATGATGCCATATAGTTATGTAACCTGGGATCCTATATAGTATTGCTGTCCTTAGTGTATTCTGGATTACACATTTAAGGCTTGATATTACTTCTGTGCTGATTTCATGCTACTGTAATTCCATCAATTTCAGCTACCCCTCCTTTACAGCAAAAAGAGTGGAGGCTGTACAAACTCTGTATATGGTTTGCATTCAGCCTTATAGGACTCATTTTTATCTTTATGGGAGCAAGCCTTTTCTGTTTTCATTTATTCTATTCAGGGTTAGCATGCATAAGTATGTTTGATTGTTACTCTTACTATGGTGGATGGCAATTGGTATCATTAGTGTTGGTTGCTGGGTAGCTGCAGCTGGTATCTGGTAGAAACACAAACGGAAAAGCCAGGCTCTGGAAGAATGAAATTACTGAATTAGTTCTTCTGAAGCATACTTTCAGTTTTCCATAGAATTAGATTTTCCTTCTATTTTTATTCTGCTTGCACAGACGTACACACACATTGACTAGTCCCTTAAAGCCTTAAGAACACTTACTAAACCCATCACTCTGCTTTGTGCTTTACATCAGCCAAGAATGGTTGAAACTCTGGCAATCTTCACAAATTCCACACCACGTTTGTCCTTGCTCTTGCAGCCTGTGACAATTCTGGCAATGGCCCCAAAAGCCATTGAAAACAATTTTTCACTTTGATTATTAAAACTATCAAGGATGTCTGTAAATATAGCTTGGAGCTCTTTCTTCTGCAAAACCAGACATGTTAAAAGGGCTGAAAAACTCTAAACTGGATGAAGAGGAAAATGATTAGAAAGTGCCAGTCCAATGGTGCATGCACTCAGCCATCTGCTACAGGGACAGCGAGCTTTGGAGATGGGAAAAGATGGTTATTTTCCACTTTCCTTCCCATTTGTGGCTTGCCATAGTGCCAGTGCACAATATTCTAGTCCTGCCATAGCCTTTCTCATCAGTGCCTTTTCTGAGTGACATATGGGGGGTTTGTGTGATGAGAACCAACTTTCTGGTTCCGGTATATTCCCTCAATTCATTAATGATCTACAACGAATCAGAGCCACGAACGAAAAACTCCCCACTTGCTTCTGCACTTTTCCAACTCTGAGAGGACCAGCTGAGCTAATAGTAGGATTTGGGTCAACTTGCCATTTCTTCAAATGGCCCAGGATGTACTCATCTTTTAATACTTTGTAGGAGGATTCAGTGTAGAACAGATAAAATTAAATGAAGTGCCTGGCAAACTAATGGGAGAGGCTTCCTAAGATTTGCCATTCTGGAACTTCTCATTGTCTTACAACTAAATAAAAAAGCACTTGTAAAGTCCAATTTGCTCTGGTTGTAAACATTATCTTTGCTCAGTGCCTTAACCTTTGAAATGCTAAGGGTCTTCTCATTGCAGCCCTGTAGTCTGCCTTTTACATGCAATCTGTAACCTCTTACGTAAGTTGTTGGTGCGATATTTTCCATTGTAGTTCTCATGCTGTTGTTGTTGTGCTGTTATTCTCAGCATCTTACACCTGCAAGCCCCGGTATTATTGTTATGTCAGGTTTCTCATGTGAAGTAACTGCCACCTGCGTGGGAATCGGATCTTTGTTGCCTGCTTTTTCCTAGTCCTTCCTTTGAAGCTTTTCGTTTACATCAGAGGAAAACCAGGACTCAGTGAACAACAAAGTAAATAATAGTAATTAAAATAGCCAAAGATCATTACTCAATGATGTGCATGCACAAAGATTGATAACAGATGATTGGGCAGCACCTGCAGCTGATCAAACTGTGCTCCAATCAGTGCTCATAGTGGGAACAGTCATGAGAGGTCCTGATGAAAGGTATTCAGGATTATGGGAAAAGCCTGGTGAAAAATCATCATCAACATTTTTTTGTGCTTGATGGTAACCTTGAAGTCAGTGTATGTGACTGGAAATAGACCCTACAAATGAAACTGTGTGTATTTAAGGCTATCTCCATACAAACATCCTTGTATGACGCCAAGCCAAACACACATTGAAGAGAGGTTCAAGCCCAGGACAGTTTACCTATTGCTGTGAGCCTTTTTTTTTTTTTTTTTTTTTT